TATTCTAGAGGGTTCAAGGTCTATACAAGAAACCACGGCTGTCCAGCCCCGAGCCAGCAGGACCTCTTTTCACTCCCAGCACCTAGTACACAAATCTAAAGTCGAGTCTGTCGAAAAATCAGCTCAGTCGGGGAATTAATCTCTTGCATCTTACACACCTTTTATTCCCCAGGTCCTTATTCGCAGCAAGATACTCCTCCCTTTGCGCGCTAGACATGGCATTCCACTTTTCTGCTTTCGTTCTATCGACGCAATCAATATCTCAAGCCATCAAATGAAACCTGGGAAGGAAACGTACTTGTTCCGCCATTCGTAGTAGAACCGGGCCACGACGAAGAGAACCATGCTGTACACCGACAAAGCAATGAGCACCTTGTTACCAGTCCGGTAGTACGGTTTATCATTTTCGCGATAGATCTGAGCAATGTTAATAGGATATCGACACTCATGTCTGACCCAGCCGGACACCTACATTGTTGGCAATGATATTCGAGGTCTGCACCATCATGTTATACAGCGCGCTGGCAACCGTCCGTGTCCGCACTGTGCCTGCGTTCCTCGAGGTCATGGCCACAATGATTGCATGGATATACGGCCCCCCCAGAAGAAGCATCAAAATGACCCATCGGGCCCAGGGACTAGCCTCAGCGGGCAACACCTCCAGCGCAATCAGCAGAATCAGGCTCCAGGCCTCCGCTACGACACCCAGGAGGAAGCGCACATTGAACCGCTCGGAGATCCAAGTCCAGAAGAGCAGGTTGATGATGAAGATCACGTACGCTGGGATAGTCAGGAGATTGGTCTGGAATGTCTTGAACCCAAGCGACTTGAGCTGCAGCGTGATATAGCTGGTCGCCGGCGTGTTGGGGATTAGCCACGTCAGACCGAGCAAGTAGATGATCCACATGTCGTAGTCGCCGAGCGCCTGCCAGAGCATCTTGGGGGTGACTGCTTGCCGGTTATGCATGCCGCCTTTGCTTGGGTCGTCGCGCAGGACTCTGTTCACGAGGATCTTCTCCTCGTGCTCGTTGAACCATCCGTCCTTTCCACGGAAGCCGCCTTTCGTCTGCGTGGGGGACGCGGGCATCCAGAATGCCGCGATGATGCCGATAATGCCCGTGATGAGGCCTTCGAAGGCAAACAGGTAGCGCCAGCCGCCTTTGCCGTCGCTGTCCTGGATGTGGAGGAAGCCGAAGGCGAGAAATGCGCCGACGATGGCGGTTATTTCGTACGAGACCCAGAAGTAACTCAGGCGGATGGGTAGTTCCTTTGACTTGTACCAGAAGGAGAGGAAGAGGATCGTGTCGGGGATGCTGCGAGGGTCAACGTCAGCCTATGAAACCTGTGGCTCAGAGCTCGTCTTACAATCCGCCCTCAAAGAGCCCGAGAAGCGCTCGACAAGCGAAGTACCCGCTCTTGCCCTTGATGAAAGACTGAAAAGCAGCGATCAAACTCCAACAGACCATCTGGATGGGGATCCATCGGTCCGGCCCGAGCGCCTTGGAGATGAGCTGCGAGGGCAGCTCCGCAAAAAGGAAACAGAGGAAGAAGATCGTTTGTCCGGTGTTGTAGTCGTTCGTGTTCATGCCAAGGTCGCCCAGCATGTTGTCCGACAATGCCTGGACAATATTGCCTCGATCCAGCTGGAGCGCGAAGAACGTGACACATGCGAATGTGCAGACTCGCAGGTCAATCTGCCCTTGTCAGTATTGTTGTGAAGACGAAAATTATCTCAAGTACCTTTCTTATAAGTCTCTTCTCCTCTTCCTCAGTCCACTCGAAGTCTGGATCCCAGCGATGGAAACCTTCATAGGTCGGGATCGGCTTGTAATACCGCGGATCTTCAGAGGTATCAAATGCAGCATCTCCATCCTTGTGCCGTCGAGGCTCATCACTTGACAATGAAGAGGAAGACGCCTCTGCTGCGATGGATTTCGGAAACGCCTTGGTGTCGTATCCCTCCAGAGCAGACGCTCCTTTTACGTCGTCCGCGGCCATTTCGCGACTGTAGACAGAGCTTTTCGGATGGATTGAGCTGCCTATGTGTCATTTTGTAAGATTCAGACGGAGACGGGCAATATAAACTAGCATTCGTCGTATACAGATAGCATCTGAAGGTTCAGTCTTCCATCACGCAATCTACGGCTTTGAATAGGTCAGCATGAACCCAAGCGGTGTCATTCACCACAAAGATAGATACCTATACGACCAATGACAATACCCGAGATAAGAAGAATCCACTTGCCCCAAGAGGCAGAGATGAAGCCCGCGGCAAAAGCGCAGCAGAACCTATCAAGAATCTAGGGATCAATCAAGCGGGGCGGATTCGCACATGGTAGTACTGGACTCGTTCAGATCACGCAAAGCGAATAAGATTGACGTTATAGAAGACGAGTTATGTTGTCCAAGAATGTGTAAGGATATCGAGTAGTGTCGAATATGGAGCTTTCAGGTGGAGTCTTCGACAACCTTGACCTGATTCATAGCATTTCTTGCACCCAATCAGGCTGATGGCGAATGAGTTAGAGTTGTCCTGCAATAGTGATGAACGATGGTGCTATCATACGCCAATCGCTTTGTAGTCATCATTATCTAGACTCCATCTAACCATCACCAGAGAGGAGTCTCTGCTTTTGGCGAGTAGTCTCTTTGCAATCTTTGGTCTGATTTGGAAACATTCTGATGACGTTTCACCATGACAAGCGGGGCATATTGAGAGCCAAACCGCATTGGAAAGCAGCAATCCCAGATATGAGCTGATCAGAATCTCCAGCTCTAAAGTAAAGAGGGGAAATTCTCGCCTTGTGTTTCTCAGGGGAAGTTCACGTATACGCGTTGCGCGACTCAACACCGCAATCACGTCATACTTGGCCATGAGCAGCAACAACAATCCAAATAGATCTTTGCTATCGGCATTATAGCTTGATTTGAAGGTTTGTCAGAATGATTGACTCTACGCCATCACAATACCCATGTAGGAATACGCTGGATTCTATGCGGTAGGGCAGATAAGGCAGATAACCAATTCGGGTAAAAACAGCGCTCACCATGCCTATCCTCTCCTCCAACCCTGTTAGGACGTTGACCTCTATCTACCCCGCGTGGGGGACGACTATGGTCAAATCGTACGGCAGATACGACATATCAGAGCATTCCCCGCAGTGATTGCGCGAGCACAGATCGGGTATTCGGCAGGCAGAATGGATATATCTGGAGTGGTATTCTCACATGCATGGCTGTTAGACTCAGACGGAAATCTCGAATTGCGTTAAGTCAAATACATACCTCAAGATGGCCCCGTCACTGGTTGAAAACGTTGCTCTTCGCACCGCGCCAGTCACTAAGCTCAAGACCGACGCCGGTTTCAACAAGGAGAATGTGATCGGTTATGGCGAGGTCTACAAGCATGAGGACGAGGTGAATGGTACAGAGAAGCAGCCTCCTGCCTCGTTTCCTCACTATCTTCCCGTGTGGGACAATGAAACAGAAAGGTAAGTGGACAATAGTCTTCATCTTCCGAGCCTCAGGTCACATCCGCTGATACCGTTAGATATCCACCACTGACGCCGTTTGAGCACTATGACCACGGCAAAGACGCCGATCCATCCTTTCCTGACCTTCTGCCTCAGGGTAAAGTCCAGGTGGACAATCTCACGCCGACCATTGGCAGTGAGGTCCGCGGCGTCCAGCTGAGCCAGTTGACGAAAGAAGGAAAGGACCAGCTGGCCCTCTTCGTAGCTCAAAGAAAAGTCGTCGGTACGTGACAGATGCCGGCTTTATTGATGACAACTAACAATTCCCCAGCCTTCCGTGACCAGGACTTTGCCCATCTCCCCATTGAAAAGGCCCTGGAATTTGGTGGCTACTTCGGCCGACACCATATCCATCAAACCTCCGGAGCCCCCAAAGGCTTCCCAGAGATCCACCTCGTGCATCGTGGGGCTGACGACCGGAGTGGTGCCGAGTTTCTGGCTACACGGACAAACACCGTGACCTGGCATTCGGACGTGACTTTCGAGAAGCAGCCGCCCGGCACGACCTTCTTGTACCTTCTCGACGGACCGACCAGCGGGGGAGATACTCTCTTCGCTGACATGGCGCAGGCATACAGACGGTTGTCTCCTGAGTTCCGTAGGCGGCTGCATGGTCTGAAGGCGGTGCACTCTGGTATCGAGCAGATCAACAATAGTCTGAACCGAGGGGGGATTGCCCGACGGGAGGGGATCACCTCGGAGCATCCGATTGTCCGGACTCATCCTGTAAGTTGACAAAACTTCTCCGCAGGCTGGTGATATGTGATTGATATCGTTTTAGGTCACTGGAGAGAAAGCCCTGTTCGTCAACCCACAATGTGAGTATTCTCTTTTGAACCAGATAGGGGACCTTCTAACTGGTACAGTTACCCGGTACATTGTGGGATACAAGAAGGAAGAGTCGGACTGGCTTCTCAAGTTCTTGTATGATCACATCGCGCTCTCCCAGGATCTACAGACCCGTGTCCGATGGCTTCCTGGAACGGTGGTGGTTTGGGATGTGAGTATACTTATCCCGCATTCTGGACAGTACTAATGACAGTAGAACCGTGTCGTCGCACACTCGGCTCTCTTCGACTGGGAAGATGGACAGAGGCGTCATCTGGCGAGAATCACTCCTCAGGCAGAGCCACCTTTTGAGACGCCATTTGAGGGTAGTCAATAGACAAATTCGGACGAATTTCGCAATTGTATTGAGTGCTTTGTGAGATAACACTGATCATGAGCGTCCGTTCATACTTGACCTGCTTGTAGTATCTCATGGAATGAGGAGACCCCGTAGCCCAACAGACGCAATCACCCAACCAATCTACATATTCCATGCGCCTCGTATATCCCATGATTTCACAGCCCACTCCCTTCAGTAACATAATCGTTCTTGCTTGGTCATCCGTAGTTCCTACGAAGTACCTGCCAACAATCACGTCAGCCCTCTCTCAGGAAAAGACGGGCACGGCAACAACATATTCATTTCTTCCCAGCAGGACTCTTCCCATTCGCACCAGAGCCAAAGAAACCCTTCTTAGAACCACTTGCCTCAGCAGAGCCAGAGGTACCATTCTTAAAGCCACTCTCACGAACACGGCCCGTCGCACCAGTTGAAAAGTCTTTGTCCTCAGGCGCCAGGGTAGATATATCTTCGACATGCTGCCAGGCTAGACCCTCCTCGTCGTCACTCTCCATGAATGCGCCGCCTTGGGCGAAGTTTCTGCAGCCGGTGCTGTCCGGAGTCACCCCGGAACAGTGGCTTCCCCAGGGTCTGGGAGTGTTGTTATTGCTAGGGGGCATGATGAGGCTGGGATGGTTGGGAGCGAGCTTTTTGATGTTAGTATTTTTTTAGCAGACTTGTAAGGGAAGTAAGGCTTGCTCACAGGTAAGTAGATATATCAGAGCTAGTATTTTATCGCTGGACTAGAGTAGATGGAAGTGTTGAAGGTGAGTTGAGACGTGTGATCTCGCGAGATTTTATACGCGAGATAGAAGCAGACCAGTGAATATCAATTATCTTACACCTGCAACAGGAAGTGAATCCCTTCCACTAATGCTAATGCTAACTACAAAGGTACCATCATATTCACACTCACCTCTCAAACCGATGCAAAGCCCCAACCCTCCACTCCCGAAACTCCCTCGCAGACGCCGGCAACATCTCATTCCTGACCTTCAGATCCCGCTCAACGGCCTCATACACAGACTCAGGGACCCTCACCTCCTCCAGCGAAAGAGACGACGAACCCGTACCCGGATTCAGAATGCTATCTACATCCCCAATCTCCTGGAAGAGGACCTTCATCGCCCGCTGCGAGGAAACAGTATGCTCTGAGCTGGAGCTGGAGTACCGAAAGTCGGGGTTGAAGACCCATAGCTTCAGACCGTTAGTTACCTTGTTAAGAATGTTGTGAGGGGCAAGGGACGTACGAGGAGTCCATTTGGCCTGTCGCAGTGGATGACGAAGCGACGGGCGCTTTCCCGCTCGATGAGCTCGAGGAGTTGAGCCGCGACGATGGTTTCGATGGGGTGGGTTTCCCATGTTGATGGGTCTGGGGAGATATTGGCGGATAGGCTTGTCTTGAAGAGACGCCAGCCCTGCGATACGGCGTCTTCTATACCGATCGTGGCATTGCATTTGGCGCAGTTCAAAGATATTTCTTTCTTTTGGGCGGACTCTTCCGTCGAGGATTGTACCTATGGTAAAAAGTCGGAATCAGCGAGCTGATACTGTGCAATGCGCGGAGGTGACAACTTGTATTCAGAATACAAACTCTATCTAACCTACGGACTGCTAGGCATTACCTCTACAGCTTGTATGTACCTTGCCTAATCGCGTCGATCCCATACCTCTGGGAAAGTCCCATAGACCGAAATCAACGAAGAAACGAGCGAGGCAGCCTTGACCTCGGAGCATCAGACGGGCCTTCGTGAGCCACAACGGCAAAATGGCCTAAGCAGATGAAGAGCGAAATCCATCTCATAAGGAGGATAACTGCACCCCAAAAGCCAGGCCATCTTGCCATCACGACTGCGCGTCAGTCCGTCCCACTCAGAGGAGCTTAAATCAATATAGGGCAATTGTATCGAAGACCCGTCCATGGAAACGAAAAGGCCTCCTTCTTTTTGCCCGAGAAAGTAAAAGAGAAACCAAAAACACGAAAACTAGCCTTACCTTCTTCAATCCCCTGCAATCCGCCTCCGAGACCAGAAACGTCGCCACGTCCACGAGGACCGTCCCGGCCGTCGCCACGACCTGATTCGCCGCTCCATACCCCTTGGTCTGGGCATTGGGGTCTTCCCCATGGCCATGGCCTTCAGGAGGGTCAGGTTTATGACAATGCCAGAAATCCATCATTTCGGCCCAGTTCCCGCTCGGCAGGTCCTTCCACGTCCAGCCTTCTGGACCGGTACCCTCTGGACCGGTCTGGGAATCGGCGCACCGAGGCGTATCCAGAACGGCATTCTCACACCCGCGACAACGCAGTCTCGTCGACGGCGACATATCCGCTGCCGTCCAGGGCACGAAATCATCGATGAGCGCATCCTGGCGGGGAGGCGAAGCATCCGAATCATCAATCTGCATTCGGAACGAGAATTCGCGTCGCCCAGTGCGCGAACCATTATCCGCGGTAGCCGCAGCGCCCTGTCTATTGGTGGCTAGAATGCGCCGCGAGGCTTCATTAACCCGCGCGGGCAGCTTGATGGTATCAGTTACATGGTCGAAGGGTTTCGGCAGGGATACCGAGACAGCTTGACGAGATTCTGAAAGGGTTATCAGTGGCTGGATGTTCTGGCTACCTAGATTGGCCGGTAACGAGATGTAGAGTGTGATATGACGGATGTTCGGGAGGAGTTCGGCGTGGAGATATAAGGACGTATCAACATCTGTCTCTGGGTTCTCTGGGGGAGCAGGCATGACAGCTTGTGATCCTCACATAGCAGGAGTACAATCTGTCAAGGTAAGTGCCAAGGCTTGAGATAGAGCAAATTGCGCAAGAAATTGTATCATTATTCCTAGAGGCGACAGTGGTTGTGTTGATATGGATTTAATTGCAAACATTTCAAACAAAGCTTGGTAATATCACGTGATCTTGTAGCTTTCGATTTATAAAGCTCCCGTGATGAGTCATGGGCTGTACCAACCGCAATATGAGTGAGACCATGACTGACTAGATTAAGCATTCTAGATCGTCGTAGACAGCAGATTACCCAGATTGAGAGTTCGTAGTAACACAATCGCTAAAGAAAGACCAAGTAACTGACCAACCCATCATACAAATCCTCCCCAACCGTCGAACTGATCTGCAAATTTCACAGCTGCCTTCAGATAAAGCTCATCCGAGTCTCCCCATGTTGCTGCTGCCTCCCGCATAGCACGCAGAGCCTTGACATAATGCGCATCCGTAGAATGCTTGCTCTTGACCGCTTGCTTCGCTGTCCATTTCCAGTCTCTTCCTTGCAGGTCGTGATTGCGAATTCGGTCAAGATCAATCTCCGGTCTGAGCTGGGCGATGTACATAGCCAGCGTCATCAGCCACCACTGCCTGACGAGTGGAACTTGAAACCGCGCAGGAATCATGGGCAGGAGGATCCGGACTGCATGGCTGGTAGTAAGGATATGGACGAGAAAGAAATCGTATTTCTCTGTGGGATCTGCTTGTGTAGCGGCGAGCAGGGCGGCGGCGAGTTGCTGGCTCTCACGGAACTGAGGCACTGGATCCTCAACCTTCCAAGCGTTCCAATGGTCCAGTAGGGCCGCCTCGTGGTGCCGGAAGAGAGTCTCTAAGTTATTGTCCCCAGGCGTTGCGAACAGCCCTTTAAAGCGCTTATCAGCACGGACCTTGGCCAGGATCTCAAAAAGCGAAGTAGAATGGTACGAGGATTCCGCCTTGGAATAGGACGGGTCATCAATGTACTTGTGCATGTCGTTGTAGCAAGTTGCCGCGAGACCCAGCGCTTCCATAGCGACCTCCCGACTCGACATCTCAAAGGCATAACCAAGATGAATCAATGGATGCCCAACTAAACGCACAACGTCAGCATATCCTCCCTCGACCAACCATCCTCAACCACTCACGATCAGCAACAAGCGAACTAAACAGTGGCTCCTTGCCGGAGAACAGATAGTCCGCCACGACCTTCTTCCAGTCATACCCATGCCGCACAAGCTCATCCTCAAAGAAATCCACAAATGCCCGCTGGTACCTATGTCACATCAGCCACACTCTGCAACGCACTCGGCGCAATGCCCAGAAATACATACTCCCGCTGTCCGAGGTAATCCCGCCAGTCATACGTGCTAATCTCCCCCGGTGCATCAACCCACGGCTCCAGCGTCTTCGACTCAGCGTCATACACTCGGTTCAGATCATCCGCGTCTGCACCTTGCAGAAACGCTGAACTGAGAATCTACATAACGTCAGCAGCCTGATCTCCAGATCTGGGGCGCAAAACCAACATGAGGGGCATGATTGTGGAATTTCCGCTCGTTGTACAGGATAGCATGGTTCGCATGGTTCAGTTTGAGCAGGTGCTTCAGAGCCCTGGCGGGCTTTTCGTGGGCTGTGTCGATCTCATGGATCTTCACTGGTGGGATGTTGAAGACTGTTTGGCGTTTCCAGGATGGTAGGAAACTGAACGAGGGTAAAGAGAATGAGAGCATTGTTTACTGTTGGTGGTGGGAGTCTAGTATAGATGTGGGGCTTTATGTTGAGGTTGCAGTTCCAGTATACGGGTTGACTCAGTGAGTCGATGGACAGTGCGAATCCCGCGCCCTGATTTGATCAAACAAGGAAACCAAATCTGATTGAAAGTTTGCGAAACTTATTGATATGGATGAAATGTCAGCGGTCGAATAGATAGTGCTGGGAGATGTTTTGGTGGCGATCTTCAAAGCTGTGGGGATCCAGCTGTTGATCGTTGGGGGAAGGATTGGCGGCCTGAGATTGCCATGACGTAATGCCACCTTTCAACAGTGTACTATACTATTCTACGCCATACACTATGTATAGCTACGACTGAAATTGTTCGATATTGTCTCGGATGGTATTGAAAGAGCATTGGGTAATGAAAATGTCACTCCGTAATTTAGTATATAGCAAGTGCCTTCCTGAGGCTACTTTTCGTGAGGTACTACATGCGCAGCATTACTGTTGTCAACAGGGTAATGGCCAGCAGGGAGTTGTCCTGTCAAGATGTCCATATCGGTTCGTGGTCCAGTGAAGTTCTTCCGACCATCAACGAACCACTGAATAGTGGAGATAACGATGATAATGCCAAAGGCAGCGACACAGTAGTCTAGACGCAGCGGTGTCAGTAGTTGGTTAATTCTCATTGCGAGTGCATTGGAACTTACTCATGTTGCTGCCCGATACGGGGAGTTCTGGTGGGAACAGGAAGAGCACAGTGGTGACTGCAATGTAGACTAGGGAGATCTAAAGCAAGATATGAGTTCGCGCCTTGAGAGGGGCCGTAAGAAATACATACCGCATTGGCAATCCAGCCAACAACATTGGGAAGGACGAATGGGCGCTCGGGGAGCATGTTACGTCCGCGCAGGCAGTTGACTGCAATTGGCATACCATATGCAATATCAAGCAGTACCACAGAAGCTGAGACAATGGCGTTGAAAGCACTGAGTCGATGTTAGCCATGGTACTATAATACCGTCACCCACACAACCGACCTGGTAGAGCCGAGGAAGATACATCCAAAGATGACAACCAGTGCCAGATTCAGATACAACGAGTTCAAAGGAACCTTCAGCTTGGGGTGCACCTTGCTGAAAAAGCGAGAAGCCGGAAGACCTCCATCTCTGCCAGGCTTGTCAGCACGAAAAATACAGTCCAGTCCTTAAAGATGGTGGATAATCACCTCGCAAAAGCGAAAATCATACGGCTGCTGGTGGTCATGATGGTAATGGTTGCGAAAAGCATGCAGACCAGGGGGAACCTAGAGAGCATTAGAAATGAACCGCGAGGCTTTTCGAAACGACCTACATGAGCAGGCAGATGGCTCCGGCATTGCTGTTGGTTGCGTTCTTGAGGATCTGTAGCAGAGGTCCGGCGGCCGAACTGATCACATCGTCGATCTTGCCAGCCACAAAGAGCAAAACAATCAGGAAGATGGTACCGGTCACCGTTCCGATACAGACGCAGCCGATCATGATCCTGGGGCCGACAACCGAAGCACGGGGAATTTCTTTGCACGTAAGCTCATGTTGTCACATTGTATCGAGAACGAGTTACCTTCAATCATATGTGCGACACCGTCCTTCGAAATGTTAGCTCTTGAGGACAAGCCCAACGTCCACAGGCGTGGAGACTTACAAATCCAGTAACACCGAGTCCACCTTGAAGCAACTGCATCTTTGTCAGAATCATGCATGTGTTGATGTGATGAAATGACGTACTCCAAGCAACCAGGCAACACCATCAGGCCCTGTGTTTGTCAGCTTTGACTTCCTCAAATGCACGGGTCAACACATACAGCCTGTCTCATTGATGAAATCCGTAAACACGAATCTGACTTTGTCAGCAAGACCCTTATTTATAAAACCACAGGAGTCCTCACTTTGCCGAGCTGTAGTTTGGCGACGCGCATGCCAGCACCGTAATGCAGATGACAGTAAACCCAGTGAGGGACCAGATGACTTGATACCATCAGTATACTTCACAAAACCACTGGCAAAGACACATACAGGCACTCTTAGTAACTAGGGGAAGAACAGAGTTCATCAAGGAATTGATGATAAACGCGGCAATATTATAAGCAATGTAGATGAGAAACTGATGCCACCGCTGCGCCTCATATTCCTGCAAAGTGTCAGTCCAGCATAACAGGTGGGGTAGCAAGCACACTTACTGGGTTCATCAGGGAAATGACACCCAGGATCAACTGACTGCCCAAGAGTCCACCAGTAGCGACGAGAGCGACCTGTTTCATCAGCAGCGCACTCAAAAGTTACGGGACGGATCATCATACCCAGCCAGACACATTCACCCAGCCAGTAATCCAAGAGAGAATCGGCATCCATCTCTCCCAGGAGACTTCCAGCTGTTAGCCCTGTTCCTAATTGCAATAGCACAGGATAACTCACTAACTACAACGTGAGGAAAAGTTAGCACCGCCCTCTTGCACGTTCACGAAGAATACCAATAACTTACCTGCAACCCAATGATACTGTCCACCAGCCCTGTTATGCCATCAACAATCCGATTCTACACGACCATAGTCGAGGACACTTACGTAGGATACGCAGACAGAAACTCAGCCAGCGAAGCCGCAATACAGAGATTACAGATCCCCGCAGTTATCAAACCTGCACGTCGACGTCAGCGCTAATCCTGACGACGAACCCAAGGTATAAAACACCTACCCCAAACAACGCTCACGCTGCCTCCGGAAGGAAGACTCAGCGATAAACTTGCTGAAAGAGCCGTCCACGACTGGCACGATATAGTCATTAGTGTCCGATATCGCAGATCCGGCAGACTCATAGAGTGAACAATCATACATTCAGAATCGCAAACGCCAGTCCTAACATCGATCTAAATCAAACAGTCGTCAGCAACCACTCAAAAAGGCCAGTCTGTGCATGATTAGAAAGGAAAAAGCATACAGCATGGAAAAATTGCGATCCAACTCGGCCTTGTGGCCCATGGCCGCAAGTTGGGCGTCGTCATCGACCTGGCCCTTGTGTTTCTCCTCTAACGAAGACATGTCGCAGATATTACAGTAAATCAAGTGTTGAATGCGACAAGAGTCAAATAGTCAAATAATCTGAGGAGCAAAGTCAAGAGCAGAGCGGCAATGGTGTCAGGTTATAAGTAAGTTGCGTTGTAGGATTTACCCCAGCCGGGGAAACTCAATTCTGGTAGCCTTTAGGTAGAGTCTAAGGTAGGTACCAGGTAGCAG